TTCTTACATCTCTACAGATAGTTCCCACAAACCAGAAGCCATTTTGGTAGGCAAGCGCAGCACAAAGCATAGCTGAACTGTGGCTTCGAGACCAACAAATAGAAAGTATATGGATACTCTTGATCAACGTGCAAGTGAAAGATACAGTAAATCACTGCTTTTGGGACTGGCAGAGTAAGTACACAAGGTAACATGTCATAGCTAGTTTGGCAATAAGTACTAAAGTAAATATCTGATATTTATCTTAGTATTACACAGAGGTGAGTACAGTACTCAAAAATTGTGACTGAATAACAGCTGTAATACATCATTTTCACAAGTTAGATAGGAATAAGGCAAGAATTGGTTCTAAGCTTGTGGTTTGCTTAACGTTGCCATAGCAACCCCATAGCAGCTGCCTACCAACATGGCTGTCAGTGTGTTTCTGGAAGTGGGATGCTACATGTGAACTATGCATAGTAAATATATAAAATATGACTCACGCATGACCACAGTTTTGAGTTCTGACATAAATGTGAAACAATATTTGCAGAGAGAATAAATAAAATAAGTTATTTTGTAAAATAAAACATTTCAAATCGCAGCATACCAAAATAAAATATAAAACTTGGTATCTCATTTAATTACACTAACGGCTTTATTGATGTTAACAGTAAGCAGTGGCTCAATAACTAGGACATGTTTAAAACATCCAGGTCCCATTTGATTGTCTTCTTTCTGAAGACAATCAAATAAAAGACTGTAAAAAGTTTGAATAACATCGTCTTCTGGCATCCTTGCAGATGTCAAGAGGGTTTTTCTTTTTCTTTACCTGACATTTTTCCAAGGCCAACTGCTTTTTAGTGTCTTTCAACCATGGGATAATTGGGTTTTTGAAAAGTGTAGGAGCTACAAACATATTTTGAGTTTCCTAGACTCTATCTTACAAATAAAGCACATTGAACATAGCAATCTACTTCCTATTTATGATTTCCTGTCACATATTAAAATGTGTGATGATATAACATTTAGATAAAACAACATAGAAACAACATTGCACACAGACAATTATTGACCTTGAGTGAAATATTTCTGATTTCATACACATACAAAATATGACAGTAAGTGCTATGAACTTCCAATCATGAAACAGATTAAGGTGCATATCTATAAAATACTATATATATATATATATATATATATATATATATATATATATATAACTAATAAAATAAAAAAATAAAATTTGTATTATTTCTGCTAAGTTTCTGTAATCTTTAAACAATTATTGGTCATTTGAATAACTTCCGCACTATAGACAACTTTAACAAAATAAACTTAATGCAAAATAGAAAAAATGCTATTCCTATAGCGAAACAGCCATGAGAATGCAAATCTGCAGAACAATTGCTGCAGAATATACAAGAAAGAGCAGAACAAAGCATAAGAAATAGGGAAAAAAGCAGAAGAAAGCTACAGTCATGCATGGTAGAATTATGCTAGTCAAATTTAGCAAAACATGTAGCATAATTCAGCAGAAGTGGAAATTCTTATAAAACCTGAAATATCTGAAAAAGTTCAGTTGTAAAATGTTTGAAAAAGTGCAATAGTAAAATTTAGCAAGATATAGCATAGTTCAGAAGAAGAGGCAGAACATTTTGATATATGAATTGCTAACATTGATTTAAGTTTGCAGAAGACCTTTGTAGACAGTAAAACCAGTAAAAGCAAAAGGTTTCTGCAGAAAGAAAGACAAGAATGCTGACACACAAAAACAGAGCACAAGAGAGAAACATTGAAGAAATAGGAGAAGGTGTGATATGTCTGTACTCCAGAAAAGTTTGACAAAAAAAAAAAAAAAAAAAACGTAAGACCTGTAGCAATGATAGTCATAGTCCTTTAAAGTAGACATACGTGGCTCTGTGTTGATGCATAAATTATTTCTGTACAGTTACTAGAGTGCACACAAAAGTAACTGACAACAGAAAATTCCACCATAGGATTACATTGTAAACCTGAAAACATTCAAAAATCTGAATAAAACTTAAATCACAATCGTGGAAAAACCGTAAGAGATATTCAAAAGCCAAAACATTTGAAGATAGTTTACAGTCTTGTGACTTGTTTGAAAGTTGGAATTTCTATCTTAAAGTAGTAATCTGTGAAAAAGCAGAAGATTTTAGCAGAATGTTGTAGAATTTCAATGTATTTCAATGTGGTTGAAATTTGCACAAAAGCGCAAATATCTCAAAAAGTACAATAGTAAAATTTAGCAAAAGAAATAGCAGAAATCTCCAGAATGTTTTGATATATGAATTAGTAAAATTGGTTAAAGTTAGCAGAGCTAGTTAAAGACCAAAAAACGTAAACAGGATCTTAATTCTCACTGAAAATGTATGACTGTACAGTCGGTTACAGGCTTTAGTGAAATTTAACAGGAATTCTCTAAAATACTCATAGGGTTCAGTGTACCCTATGAGCCTTTCGGAAAAACACTTTCAAAGCCAACTGAGACAAGGTGTGTTAAAACTCAATTTACCTGAACAAACCGCTCGAGTTTTTCTAATCTAGGAAATCAATGGAAGTTCTATGTTAAATTGTTGCCAGCAGCAAGAACCGCAACCATTGTCTTTCTCTTGAACACAGAGAAAAAAGGAGGGTATTATCACTAAAAAGAACACAGTCTGATTTTTTTTTGTTCAAATTGCAGGTAAAAAGCTGGCCATTTAGAATAGGTGTGGTCACATGTTCAGTTAAACTTGCGATTCAGTCTTAACCATCCCACAAATGACGTGTACAAACAAACATCTACAGGCCATTTGTGTCTATTGTACAGAAAAAAGGGGATTTTCCCCCGACTTTACCTCAGAAAGGATCTCATGTCCTAACCTTTTATAAGAAATTGCTCAAATTACATCCTTGTTAAAATCTTGACAGTAGGTCTAAATTCAGTCAACATAAGGGGCATATTTAGAAAGCTTTAATTAGTCAGAAGCAGAAAATGTATTTTAAAAAGTACACCTTAATCTTTTCATATATAAGGAAGCTCAGAGATTAAAAAGTTAGTAAAAACAGCCATTGGAATCGTTTATTTTCAGGGTAAATTTGCTTTTGTAAACCAAAGAATTTTCACTGACACCACAGCATAGATTTATGTTCTTATAGCCACTCACTGGATGGATCTTTAACCAAATTAATATCCCATATCTAGCTTGGCACTCATTAGTCAATGTGATTTTTTTAAATTAAGGTCTGTTCACGAGATGAGTGAACCTGAATGCTCAACTTGGTAGGTCTGTGACATCTCATCTGTTTATTTATCAACATGCAGCAAAGACTCCATTGTTACAGATGCATTGTGTGTTATTCATACCAAAAGATTTATCATCTTTTACAAATATAGTTAAGAGCACTGTTGTCTCTTAATATACTGGGAAGATGTGCGCAAAAAAGTCATTTAAACAATTTGCATTAAATACTTGAATTCTGTCAGTAATTACATCAATTAAAAAAAAAATTAAATACTTGTGTTTCTTTCAGAGTAGCAAGGGGCAGTGTGTGGGAGTGTAATGAAATGTGATGCATTAAAAGTGATTACATTTTTGTACCTGAACATGTCTGTGAATGTGTGTAGGTGGGCAGTAGTAACTAGTAATTGAATTGAAGCTATGTCTTCCAATTTATATGTTCAAGTTTGTTTCATTCATCAAAGGTTTAAACTTATTTTTCCACTGTTTTTAAATATAATCACTATATCAAGTGTGATTCTAAAAGCTATTTTATGCTTATTTACAACTGAAACTGGCTATTTATAGAATAAAAAACAAGTTTTTCCTCACTATCTGACATCACTCAAAGAATTTTTTACACTTTCTTTAAACTCTTCAGTTTAAAATTAATTGACTTTTAAACTTCAAACGTTTTGCAAAAGCACAGATGAAGATGTTAAGATGTTGTAAGAGACAACATTTCAAGATATCAGTCGGATACTTAAAGCTTGGTCACAAATGGGTTCTTTAAAAGGATAGTGATCCTAAGTCTACCACCAAATTAGTCATACGGTGACTTAAGAACAGAAAAGGGAATGTTTTGCCTGAGACTCAAATCCCAAGGACAGAAAACTTCTGAACAGTTCTGAAAAGAGATGTGAAAACCTGACTTAGTATAAAAGGTTTACTAGAAGCAAAGATCAGACTATTGTGAGACTTCTGAGAAGTTGTCTCCCCTTTTTGTTGACATTTAGGAAACACAACTAATTTAAACTTAAATTGGAAAAAAGTTTTTTTTTGATTTTCAAGTCTGACAACTGAGAAAAAAAGTTGCATCTTTTTTTTATTGTGTAAGTAAGTACCTGCTTTCAGTTGTACATACACAGCTTCATACACACACATAATACATTATTATGCTGCACTCATTTTATTTTTTATTTCTAATGAGTTAGGCATTCTTCTCAAAAGTATATTTTACAAACTGAGAAAAAAGGCATCAATGACTCTGCCTACATTTACTGGTGAATCAAATATTTGAGGCAGAATGAGAGGGAGAATAATGTGCAAAGTGTATATTAAGTAGTAACAGAGGTTGGAGAGCTAGAGATCTGAATTTTAGAGAATTTGAATGAGGCAGTATGATTGGTTTTTAGCACCTCCAGTTTTATTAAAGGCTGCTTTAAAGAACTTTAAAGAAATTGCTTCTGGGAGACAAACCACCAGCTCTAGATTCAATTGAACCTTATTGTTTCAATATATCCAGTTCAGTAAAATGTACACTTTCAGCATGGAAATTGTGTTAAGTGTTATTATGTATAACATCACTAGAGAATTGACTGGTGAATAATAAACCTCCAATGCTTTTTCTGCATAATATTTAGAAGACGGCATTCACTTGTTTCCTTGTCAACAGATTTTCATGTTTTTTTTATCATGCATTTTAGATTCCCTGTCTCTGCAACATCAGTCATCAAAAATTCACCAAAAACTAAAAGAGAGCAAGCGCACACACGCCCGACAAAACTAGCATACCTCAGCTTTAATCTTGTTGTCTCCGAAGCACAGATGCTGCAGGTAAGCTGCAGCATTGGACTGCACCGATGGGAACTGGTGTTGTAACATCTGGATCACCTCTGGCAGCTCCGGATCTCTCCACCCAAACTCTCTGCGGAGTAACAGACAGAGGCACTTTGATTTCTTTAGCGCATTAACAAGGCATCCAGCTGAAACACAAGAGATTACCTGAGACACGTCCAAGTGACTCACAGATTTTCCTCCCAACATCACAAAAGTTGGAGACTTAGCTATTCACTCCCATGTTTACACAGCACACACAAGGAGACTCAGGAAATCAAAAAGACAGAAAGAAAAAGTCTCTATTTCTCTCTTTAGTCAAACAAATGCATTTTTAAAAGAGAGTGCTTTTAAAGAAAGCAACGCAGTGGGACTTAAATCACAGACATTACTTGATGAATGAGCAGTCGACCAAAACACGCTCATTTCCATCCGACACACAGGAGATAATAGATAAAACAATGAGCCAAGCAGCTTAAACAAGTAGCGACTTCAGCACTTAGAAGTAAACAGTAAGGGAAAAAAAAAAATAGAATAAAAAAAAACTCATGCTGTTTCCTCAGCTCCATCTTAGATCAAAGATGAGGACTTCATTCAAAAAGGCCTCAGAGGAAAGACATACAGCTTATTACCTAAAAACATACATGATCATTTTCTGACTCATATCCACGTCTGGAATGCTAATGTAAAACTCATTTAATGTGTTAAGCAAGAGGAAACAAGTGGGCAAGCCAAGAACATAATTGTGTACACTACTTCTTTAAGAAAAAAAAGAAAAACTTTGCTAAACTACCTCCGAACTACAAAAGGAACAAGCTAATTGCCGCCTGCGTAATTAGAAATGTATTGTTTTATGAGCAAGAATCAAACCAAAAAAAAACAAAAAGTAAAAAAAAAAAAAAAAAAATACTTGCAGAACACAGTATTACCACTGTTAGAAGACTGTCTGCTGACGGGGCAGCTTGAGTTATGTTCTGTACTCTCAGCCATTAGAAGTTTACACATCTCTGAACACAGTGGACAAAGTGAAATAAATGTTTTGTCCCTCGGTAGTACTCAGGAAATGGCCTGCTTTATTGTGTTATCCTGTGTTAATAATTGTTTTGCTACAGGCCCCCAAATGAGGAAATTATAAGTGTGCGCACACACACACGCACGACAGTGTTACCTCCACCTAGTGTAATATTTTCTCCAATAACTACTCTGCCCATTGGTCAGTATTTTTAAAGTGATTTGAAAAAATAAATAAAAGAGCAAAACAACGTATGTTGAAACTTCACTGCCCTCATCGATTGAAGTGTTTGAGGATTGATTTTGCTGTTTCTGCCTTTGTGGTTACAGTTCTGTGACAAAATGTGGGCTCTGTAATTCCCATCAAGCTATAATGATTAGTTTTACCCCGAAGCCCAGATCACCCAAACATAGAAAAAGAAAAAAAGTGGGCGAACTGACCTGCCTAGAGAGTGAAAATTGATGGGGTAAAGGACAACGTGAAACTTTGCATCCAGGGGGAAAATAAAGCCCCGGTGCTCTCATTTCTGGCAGATCAAGCGAGCGCGGTTTATGAAATGTCTGCAAAAAAGCACCACATTCACAGGGAGTAAACATGGCTCTCAAAGATAAAGCAAGCTCTAGCGTGGACAGCTCTTTATCTGCCAAATGATAAGTGTTCTTTCAGCACGAAAACACGACTGAAGGAGAGCGAGGGAGGAGGAGGGATTCCCAAGGCGTTTAAGGGATTTAGGAGGAGAGACCCTCAAACAGGTCTCCTTAAATCACAGAGCCAGATAGCATCAGGGCAGGTTGTTTGTTTATGTGTGTGTGATGGGTGTGTAGCAAGTTTAAGACAGCATCATTATGTGTGTTTCTTTTGTGGGCATAGTTGCATCAATGCCCATTGGTGTCTGCTATACTTCCTGTGTGTGTTTGTGTATTTGCAGATCTATTTATATTCATTTGTGTCTTGACTTAAGAGAATGCAACCATAGGGAGATGTGTTGATGTGTGCTGCTGTTTGCGTGTGTTTGCGTGCGTGTGTCATCCATCCCCTGCAGCCTTTCAGCTCTGTCAGTGTAGTTAATAGAAAGCAGAGTGATCTGCTGATAAGATAAGCATCATGGCTCGCCATTAATTAAAAACCCCTGGTAGGGATGGAGACGGCAAGCGGGGAAGAGAGAGAGTGAAACACAGAGGGAGAATTGGAAAGAGAGAGTTGATGCAAGTACCAGAGCGTTCAGGGGTTCATCTGGCAAGAGGAAGCTGACAGGAAGGGGGAGGTAAAAAAAAAAAAAAAAAAAAAAAAAAAAAGAAACTAACCCTCAAACAAGAGGACCGTCATGCTTGCACAGGTGCCAATAAGAACAATAACCTTGTTTTATGCAAACCCAGGTGACAAGCCACTGATGTGAAACAGCAGAAAGCAAAAAAAAAAAAAAAGAAAAGGAAAAAGAAAAAATGAAAAAAAAAAAAAAGCCTGCAAAGAGCAACAATTGCATAAAACAGAGTTGTGAAAAAAGTTTGGGACAAACATCTGAGAAATCTGCATCACAATGCATTGCTTCCTGCAAGGCACATTCTTCATATAACTTTCTCATCTTATAGCGTACGCTTTGAGGTTTGAGTCCTCAATGGACTAGTGGGAACGAAAATGAAGTCAGCCTCTGATGCCGCACAGAGCTCCGTGTTCCCGGTGAGACGGGTATGTTTTGCAATTTCTTGAGGCGTGCGGAGGCGTGATGCAGCAAAATACTTTAGTAAAAAAAAATAAAAACAAAAAAAAAACATTAGGTGTGGCAGAAGAGCAGTCTTACAGAGCGAGTAGAAAAGGCAGGTGGCAAGGGAGGACGGTGTGGGAGGAAGGGTGGAGCTAGAAACAGAAACTGCACAAAGTGAAGAAGTTTCTATGGGTGTTGGGCTTTTTCAGGTCAACACACAACACTTAGAGAATGAAGGACGAAAAAGGGTATTAAACAGATTATAAAATTAAGGTTTTTTAAATGATATAGTCATTGTTGTCCAGGATTTTGAAACAGAATTTTGTCTCTTTTTTCAAAACCAATCTTCCAAAGTCTTGCACTACTGCATTATTTGGCAAACAGTTGGACGTAACAACAAAATAATCAGCCAAAACATCAACATTGTGTGAAGAGCTTCTTCCAGCGGAATAAAAGTTTGTATGTCGACTACGTGGAGTAAATTCGTTTGGAGTCAATAAATATGGCCCAGAAAGTGTTTTGGAGATTTTACAGCTTTTAAAATGCAACAGCATAAAACATGTATATTTAGGAGAAACCAATACACCCATCACCCGATTGTGTATTAGGTTTTCATTTTTGTGAAATAATAAGACATGATGCCATAAAGAATGTAGCACTCCTCACATAGCCTTCCCACACATTTCACAGCGTAGCACGCATTTGACACAATTAGATCACCAGAAAAAAAAGCCCCCAAAAACTCAAATTTAGGTAATTGTATGATGGAAAACCCTTGGAGTGTTAAAGTGTGTGAAAGTGCTGGTAGAAAACAACTGCTTGGCAAACAGTTTATGGCTATTCATGAGTGCCTAGAGTCCTTGATAAAACTCATCACCTGATACCTATTGTTGGTCTATAATTATCTCTGCACCACCCCTTTTTAACACAGCTAACTTCTAGCAATCCTGGCTAACATTAGCCTAGCATTAAAGCGCAAAATCTGTAACAGCAGAATGTGAGTTTTCTGAAGACTCACACAATACGTCTCAACACAGACAGTGAAAAGGAAGAATTAGAGAGCCTTAACATTAATGGTGAGTGAGTTTAGTGAAATACTGGTGAAATCTAGTGTGATGCATTACTACACTGTAAAGTCAGAGCATTTTTAGGCACTTAAATGTCATCAGATTTCCTTAATGTTAATAAATACCAGACAAGGTACTCAGATCCATGTTGGAGTCAAAAATCCCACGTTGGAACTTTTCTAATGCTGTTGCTGCTCAGTAAACAAATTGTTGCAGGACCAAGACAAATTAGATGTCCAAAGAAGTAACAGGTTTATCTTCAGGACACATAAAGTACTTCTCTCATGCACACATTCAAAGCAAAGTATTGCACTAATTTCTTGACTGTTGTACAAATAACTCCACTGCTTCTCAGAGTAAAACAAATACCAAAGGTTGTAGGCAATATATGAAAGTAAAGAATTGAGCCTGACAGATACAGCTGTTAAGCTTTGTCTTGGATTAAAATATCCAAGTACTTTTGTAAATGAATAGTTTCAGTTATCAATGGTTTTAAAAATTCAACAAGGACCAATAATGTAGATGTTTCAACAGGATAAACAAACAACATTATGTAGAGCAACACTCGCTCTTATCCCCCCCCAACCACCTAATATGATGGATGATAGTAAATCACATTTTAAACATTAATCATTTAGGTCTCTGAGGCCCGTTCACATCCATCAACACTGACCACAATGAATCTGACCGACAGCTCCACACAGGAAGCCTGTCCCGCTGGCCTTAATCTGATTGGACAAGGCCTGTCATGTATGTTAACTGATTGGAGGGTCAGGAATGGGCAGCATCGCAGTGTGCATACCAAAGCAGAGACTAATTAACACCAGAGCATCAATCTTTATAAATGTTGAACAGAGAAGATAGAAAACATTTAGAAAACATAAGAAAGCTTTACATCTTGCATTTAGAAGGCTCCTTTTCTCAGGTAAAGTAAATTGTGGAGTTAAAGTCAATAACACATTTCACCAATTCAACAGATAAACAGCATAAATAGATTGTAGAGGAAGATGCCCAAATAGTAGCCCTAAGTGTTTTTCAGCTCCATGTAATTAAAAGTGCATGTTAATTAAGATGCTTATCCAGTGAAGAAAACAAGCCTCGTTGATGCCCCCTACTGGCAAATGCTTGAGAATATAGTTGCCAAACGCCGACTTGGGATTAGGTTAAAGTACAACTCAACTCAGCACTAAGTCTAATTAGGATGGAGTTTAAGGTGCACAGAGCTGTTGGACCTGTACTGAATGAAACACAGCTTGAGACGTTCACAAAGCAGATTGCCCAAAGGCAGAAATACAAGTGAGGACAATAAA